TTGTATCTTGCTGTGCGCTGAAATATTTTTATATCATTATAGTTTCCTTACTTTTGCTACATCTTTATCGGCTTACCAGTACCTGAAGGGGACCTACAAGAAAGGTGGTGAGGGACTGTTTATCAGGGAGTGTAGTGACAGGACAAGGGGTAATGGGTTTAAGCTGAAGGAGGGTTGATTTAGATGAGATGTTAGAAAGAAATTCTTTACTGTTAGAGTGGTGAGGCACTGGAACAGGTTACCCAGAGAGGTTCTGGATGCCCCATCCCTGGAAGTGTGTAAGACCAGGTTGGATGAGGCTTTGGGCAACCTGGGCTAGTGGAGGGTGTCCCTGCCCATGGCAGGGGGGTTGGAACTAGATGATCTTTGAGGTCCCTTCCAACCCAAACCATTCTATGGTTCTATGATTTATTGGTTTCCTTTTCTGTAGTCTAAAAGATTCCAGTAAGTGTATACAGAGGTAAGTCTTACATTCTGTGTGTTCTTATAGACTTGTTAGGATATCTGAAATGTAAGTGTAATTAATGTAAGTTTTCTGTGATTTTTTTTTGTTTGTTTGTTTTTTAATAGCTTATATCTGATGCTGGATATCAAGGGGAAATAACTAGTGTTTCAACAGCATGTCAGCAACTGGAAGTATTTTCCAGAGTCCTGCGTACATCTCTGGCAACAATTTTAGATGGAGGAGAAGAAAACCTTGAAAAAAACCTCCCTGAGTTTGCTGTAGGTTGTTGTTGTTGTTGTTGTTTTATGTTTTATGGAAAGAAAATAGTGTTTTTCTTTCTGGTTACGTTATACAAATCAGCGCGGATTGTAGAGAATCTTGACATCAAGTCTTACAAAATCTTTTGAAGAAAAGGAATATCTGAGTTCAAAAATGGAAAGTTATGTTTTTTGATCATTTTCTGACCAAGAATTCCTTGGGCTGCTTACATGACGCTTCTGATATTTATGAGATGGATTGTAAAAAGGTGAAGGTAGAACAGTTGTCTTTCACATTTAATGCAAGAGCTAAAGATCAGTCTAGTCAGTCCCCTGGCAAATTAAAATAATTCTTTTATCATCCATGTCAGTGTGAAAAGTTGCCATCTAAATCAACAAAGCGTATGTTCTTTGTTGTGAAATAGCATAACGACTTTTGAATGGCTTTGTACTTGTCTTTTTAAATATTGCACAGAAAGTACTGAGCCTAAGTAGGATAGAATTTCCTCTCAGTTTTGGCATTTAAGAAACATAAGTTCTCAATGTAGACATTTCTTCTTGCGTGGTATCAATGCATAGTGATACTATGGTTTTCTGTACTTTCTTCTCAACTGTTGGGTTTTTGGTTTTCTTGTTTAGTTTGTGGTTTGGTTTTGTGGGATTTTTTTTTCTTTTTTGATTAGTAGATTTCAGTGAAATCTTTGCTATTATGGCAATGTAGTCACAGAAGCAGCATACTTGTGTATTTATTGTTGACTGGTAAGATTTTTGATGTGTGCATTCACAGAAGATGGTGTGCCATGGAGAACACACATACCTTTTTGCTCAATCTATGATGTCCATATTAGCTCAAGAAGAGCAAGGAGGATCAGCTGTCAGACGAATCGCTCAGGAGGTTCAGCGATATGCTCATGAGAAGTAAGTGGCAGTTATGTTATTAGTGAAATGTAAGTCACTGGGATTTGTAAGCTGCTGTCTTTTGCTCATTCTTGATTACCTTTTACCAGCAAAAGGAGAACTCTGAGTTGCAACGGAGCAGTTCATATAGCAAGCTTTAATGTGTAGAGCAACAGAAAAGTTCTGTGTCCTGTACTAGGAGACCTGAAATAAGAAGAACAAAGAATTGAAGTTTCTGTCCATTAGAAAATATATATTTTTATTATTCTACAAACATTTTAGAAACTAACAAGGGAAATACAGGCCTGTTTTATAAAAACCCAGGATAAGGGGTTCTGCCTTAAGCCATTACATTCCATAGGATGTGCCCTGTTGACTTAGTGAGGCTAAAACTCAAATGTCCAAATTCAGAAAATAAGTTATGTATGTTTGTTTTTCGTCTAGAGGCCATGATGCGAGTCAGATCACTTTAGCATTGGGTACTGCAGCCTCCTATCCTCGGGCGTGTCAGGCTCTTGGTGCGATGTTGTCCAAAGGAGCTCTGAATCCAGCAGATATCACTGTCCTGTTCAAAATGTTTACAAGCATGGACCCACCTCCAGTAGAACTGGTTAGTAGTTATCTTTTTTATAACCTCTGAAACTTAGTTCTATTACAGTAGCACGCAGAAGTATGAAGTCATCTTGTGCTAAGTGTTGTATCGACACAAAATAGAAGTTAGCACTCAGACTCACCCCTCTATAATTTTAAGTAATGTCTAAATGTGAAACTACTACTTGTATTTTATGTTGCATTAGCTTCTTGACTGATTTTGTTTAATCATTCCAAGTTGTCTTTACATATAACTAAATTGATTAGAGAACCTCTCAATAGGAGGCAAAGATGGCAAGAAATTAACTACCTTCTTTTAACAAAAAAAAAAAAAAAATTAAAACCCCAGCCAGTTCTGCAGTTTGTTACAAGCAGGCCTAAATGGCACATTTCACGTTTTCACACTTACTACTGCCTCCTTCTAACATGGGTTCTGGTAACAAAGGGTGGCATTTAGATACTGTAGCAATATAGTCCATAACTCTGGGTTTGGGGTTGGTTTTTTTTTGTGTGTGTGTCAAAAGTTTGGTTCTCTTCAGAAAAATATCTAACCTACTTCCAAGGGAGAATATGTTATATCTCATTCCATGCAAGGTATATCAGATGCAAAAACTATGGTTTTAGTCACCTCTCGTAATTCTCAGGCTCTAATAAACAATTCTCTTCACAGATTCGAGTACCTGCCTTTCTGGACCTCTTCATGCAGTCATTGTTCAAGCCAGGTGCTAAGATTAACCAGGACCACAAACATAAATATATTCACATACTGGCATATGCAGCTAGTGTAGTAGAGATGTGGAAAAAGGTAATGTTCTGTTCTGTGAATAACAACATTATTACAGTGGCCTGCTGTGATGAAGAAAATACATGGTCATGAAGTTGCTCAGTTTAAAATAACGTATTCAGCTTGATTTACTTATTTTAATACAAAACGTTTCTGGCTTCAACTGAAATGACTAAAAAAATGTAGATTCTGATGATACAATAGGACTATAAAAGTCTGAGTGCACAGAGTATTTTTGCTCTCTTCCCCCACCTCCCTACCAAAGGCTTTCGGTAGCAGTTCTGTGCTACTGGAACTGTACATGCTTTTTCAGAGGAAGAGGAATTTAATTCTATGAAGTGGATAAAGTAATTCTTAGGGAATTAAATAAAGCAAACATCCTTGTACTTCAGCTCATTGATAATTAGTTCTTCTGAAACTTGCATTTGAGTCTAAATTTTGAGAAACGTGGTGTAATCTTAGGCTTATCGCAGGTTACAATTCCTTTCCTTAAATAACCAAAGATGTGGTATATTCACAACTCTTACGTTCAAACTTTGCAATTTTTCAGAACAAGAGAGTCAGCATAAACAAGGATGAACTCAAGTCAACTTCAAAAGCCATTGAAACTGTTCACAATCTGTGTTGCAATGAGAATAAAGGAGCATCAGAGTTGGTTGCAGAACTGAGCACTCTCTATCAGTGCATCAGGTGAGCAGAGAGACTGGTCCCAGGCTTCAGTTGTTGGAAGGAAAGTGGTTTTTTTAGGAGATGCAGAACTGTTAAAGGGAAATACCTTTGTGGGCTACTCTGTGAGAACATCCTCATTGTACAATACATGAAGTTGTGGTCTGCAAGCAGCTTTTAAAATTGTACATCTGACTCTTTGGAATCTCTCTCATGAGGACACAAATTCTGGCTTTCACTGACAACTTGTCTGTCTTGTGCCACAGAACATGCTTTTCTCTGCCACTGGAAAAAGATGACAGATTACTTTGTCTTCCTAACAAAGCTTTCCTAGCAATAATGTGTCCTTTTTTCTACTTCTAAAAGTATGAAATAGCAGATACTGAATAAACTGGTGTGAACTTGGAGTGTACATGAATTTTGTGGCCTATTTTTTTGCATTTTGTGCTGAGCAGGAAGTGTGTTTGTAGAAAGAGTTTTCCTCCAGCCTATCTGCCCCCTACCCCCTTTCTTGATGAAAACTGCTCTTGATGTGCTGGCAACTTTTCAAGCAAAACTTTTTAAGCTTCATGAATTCTACTGTAAGTTAAACTGAAAATCTAGCAACCATTAGTATATACTGAAAGATGATGTATTTTTTTAATTTATTTACTGGGAGGATTTTTGGGTTTTGAGGTTTTTTGATGTTTTGTTTCGGGGTTGGTTTGTTTGTTTGTTCTATGCTCCTGTACTAAAATGATCTCTTTCTCTGTAGATTCCCAGTGGTGGCAATGGGTGTATTAAAGTGGGTGGATTGGACGGTGTCAGAACCACGATACTTCCAGCTGCAGACTGATCACACTCCGGTTCATCTGGCATTATTGGATGAGGTAAAAGTGTATGTGAAACCTTGCTGGAGAGTAAGAGCAGTTTTGATGCCTGTAACTGGAAGTACATCCAGTTCACTGGATGCCTATCATTTGCAGTAAGTCAGTAAGTATACAGAGATGAATCTGTTTCTATTTAGAGTTAATTATTTGGTTTTGTCAGCTCAGCGTTATTTATGCTAGGAAAACTTAGGCATCAGAGAAAGAAATGGTGGAATACTTTTTGAAAAGAATTTACATCTGGCACTGAACATCAATGTAAACTTGTCTAATAAAGACTGATGCATTTGTTTTAAAATAGAAGTTCTGAGAATCTAACTTTCCTGTGTTGTTTGCAGATCAGTACATGCCATCAGCTGCTTCATCCCCAGGTTCTACAACTTCTTGTCAAGCTCTTTGAAACAGAACATTCGCAGCTTGATGTAATGGAGCAGGTGATTCTCAAAGGATTCAGTATTTGTGTTCCTTCATATTAGTTACACGTACTCAAGATAATAGCTTTTGCTGCCCCAGCAGTTTTAACAGTTTTTAATTTAGGAATATGGTCACGGTTAAAATGTAACATGGCAGGTACTGAATCAATAAGAATGACCAATAAAAATTGCACACTTTTGAGAGGAAGCTCTAATCTGTTGGTTCTTCCCTCCCCACACCATCAGCTGGAACTGAAGAAGACTCTCTTGGATAGAATGGTGCACTTACTCAGTCGAGGATATGTCCTACCTGTTGTCAGCTATATCCGCAAATGCCTGGAGAAGCTAGATACAGATATCTCTCTCATCAGATACTTTGTTACAGAGGTCAGCAGCAAAGATTGTATTTATTAACATATAGAAATAAACTTTAATATCAGTTGTATGTGTTCGGATATTAAATCAACTTGCCTCAGATTCATAAATATTTCAAGATAGGAGATTAGATTCTGAGCAATGTAGGTAGTACCAGCACTCACTAGAATATGACTCAGTCCTACTGACTCCTGACTTCTGAAAGTATTAAGGTCCTGGATAGAGTACCACAAGAATACATAATTAATTACTGTATGGAGAACAAGAGGTCTTAAGTGCAACTACTTGCATGCTTTCAAGACTAGTATTGTGGATTAAATATTGTCCCTACTACCTCTCTAACTGGAAGAATAATCCATTTTTGCCTGCTGTTTCAGGTGCTGGATGTGATTGCTCCTCCATATACCTCAGACTTTGTACAGCTTTTTCTTCCAATCTTGGAGAATGAAAGTATTGCAGGTACTATTAAAACAGAAGGTGAACATGATCCTGTCACTGAGTTTATAGGTGAGTCACATTTATTCCTTGCATACCTACTTCCCTTTGTATTTGTTACAACTTGCAAATAATGTTTTGGAGGAGGATTGCTAAAAATAGAAACGCATGCCAGATATTTTCACAAATAACTTCCCTTTTTAGGGGCCTGTGTTTAGCAATTTTCCTTTAATCAAGAATCTCTGGGTAGTAGTGAGGAACTTGGAGACAAATACTGCTTTTTTGAGAACTAGCATTGTAGTAAGGAAAAGATAGGAAGGGGAGTCACCTGTCATAATACGCTCCTATCCTAAAACAAAAACATCTGTCCAGACCCTAAAATCCTAATTATTTACATAATGCAGAAACGCACATGCAAACAGATAAATCAGAGTAATGTACTGAACTCTTTCTTTCTTTTTTTTCTTTTTTTTTTCCTTTTAAGCTCATTGCAAATCTAACTTTATTATGATGAACTAAGCAGTGGAAAATACCAAGAATGCAGAGTACATGATCACTACTTTGCCATACTCTCCACCAGTAAGGTTCTATAACTGGGCAACAGCAGCAAAAAAACCTGAACAAAACCAAAAAACTGAAACCAACAAACCCAAAACAAGGAAGAAAGGGCTGAAGGGCATTTGATTGATTTGCATGGTGACCTCGAGCCTCATATCAGGGGACTGTTAATGTACTTTGGAAATGAGTAATACTGAAGGATTTTCTGTTATTACACAAGTCAGTATAAATCTGAGTATTCTGAAGGAAACAGCAGGAGAAAAACAGATTTATTTCAAAGAATGTTACTTTGGTTACTTGCAGAATTTGTCACTGATTCTTTGTGTAATATACAAAACCTGAAAAATGGAGAAGGTAGTTCCTACTAAAAACACTTTGCAGATAGTTCTCTGAAGACTAGGTCTTGAATGCTCTAGGTTTTGATGTTGCAAGTTGTAAAAAAAGGAATTTGTGTGATTAGCTCTGTGCTGCAGAGAAGCCACAATGCCTTTTTCTCACCTTTGCGTTATATTAGAATTCTAAATATCCTACATATTTACTGCTATGAAAAAAAACCCTGTTCTGTGTAACACAAGTGGAGTTGTAACAATCATCAAGGTTAGTTTTGTATTAACAGATGAATCCTACGTGAGTGTGTTATCTTTCAGAATCTATTTTTTGTTAAATAGATGCATCAGATGTTCCTGGTAAGTTTCATTACCATGTCAGCATTCTTCTGCTGTCCAAAAATATGAATGTGTGCAGAAATTTCATTACCGCTTGTTGTGGCTTGGTTTTTATACTTTTCTCTCCTTTGTCCTGGTTGATGCCAAACAGTGGGGGGATACACCCAAGATTATAATTTACCTTTAAATAAAGGGGTTTTTTTTCTTTACCAGAGATTTCTTTCAAAGTTTTGTTAAGACCACTCTTTCTTTCTGTTCATCAGGCTGGATTTCTCTTTGTACAGGCAAATACTGTTTGTTTAAAAGTGAAGGGTATAGACAAGCCCATTGTGCTTTTCCAAGCATATCTTTTTCTAAAGAACCTGCTTTCTAAAAGACAGTGACATTGTAAGTCCAACTGGATGTACATTTAAAAAGGAAATCACTGTTCTTCTCTGTTGTCAGTGAGTCATGAATGGGAGCTCTAAGCTACCATGATTAATTCTTGAGACAGCGGCCAATTGTATCGATTCTTGACTCCTTATAAAAAGGCATGCATATTCCTTTTCCTCAGCTGATCCCTCACATACATACGCCGCAGTGACTGAGCTTACCATAACAACATTTACAGTGCTCTGATCTACTTTACTTAAAGTAGAGCCTGAAAAGGGCAAAACTTGCTTCTCTAGAAGCTGTTCTGAACTTCTTTTGCCTATCTTTGACTAGAAGATGTACTAGCATTCCAGCTAACTTTCATTATTTAAGCTTGCATGAGAACAATTTTTCATAATATTTCAGGTAGAAAGTTAAAGTATTTGGTTTTTGTAGCCCCTGACTTCCTTTCTTAGTAGAATTATCTACAGAAACAATATACCCAATAGAGCTTCACGTTAGGATGTAGCCCTGTATCATCTTTTAGTGGTAATCGAGCAGTTTTTTCCTATGTCCATTGCAAATTTGCCAGCTGTTCAAACAAAGTATACTTTTGCTTTCCTCTGTGTTCAAGCTTGGTATTGCTTTCTCTAAATACTTGAGTTCTTTTGCACTTACTTATCCATGTAGATGACTTACTTTTAACTAGTTAAAACTTTGTGATGCTGTGATCAGTACTGTTATACTACCGTGTTCATATCTCAGTGGAACTGCAGCTTGGCAGCATTAGTCGTTATGGGCACTATGGAGTTATTTTGCTATGATAAAGCAAAGCCATGGAGTCAGATGGAATTCTTTTGCCTAGATTTAAACATGTTATTGTCTTTCATGCTTAAGAGGTAAATGATGGATGAAAGAGAGGAACACCTAATGATTAGAGTATGATCCTTGTATGTGGACCTACTGTTGGTTTTCTACATCAACCAGAAAAGTCAGTCTTCAAAGTCTCTGAGCATACTTGAATATGGCCTAACCTCAGGTCTAAAACATGTTTTCATTGTCACAATAATAAAAGCTGCGCTGTTTAAAACTGAAATGATAAGAATAGAAAAACCACCTCAACTTCATCCTAGACACTAGCAGTCTTAATGTTTTATGGATATTTACTGTTCTGCCAAACTTATTTTCTGATTAGGAGCAGACTTCTGTCACAGCAAAAACTAAAGTAAGTTGCAGAAACTACCACCTGAGAGGTAGCAGACAATAGAGACAGTTTCTGGACTTTTTTTCCTCCTCTGCACCACTAAAAAGCTTTAACTTACAAGTTTGAGTGAAGCATAAGTCATAGGTTGATTTGATTTATGGTAGGCTTTGGAGATTGACACTTAAAAGTAGTGTTCTACAACATCTGAAAGTGTCTTCTCTTCTTTGCTTGTTGAAGTTGGATTCTTCCTTGTAGCTTGTTACCTTCATCTCCAGTGTGGGCAGAGGTAGCACAGTTTAACCTGAATTGTTGTTTAAACCGTGGTAGTTGCTGCATAGACAACTGTGGTGTCAGCCAACCCTTTCACAAGAAAAAGTCCTGTAAAAGCAGTACCATGCAGGATAAGCTTTGGGTAGCTAGTCTGCCTCATGGGACTGCTTGTTTGGTACAACAATAGAAGACAACCAAACCCATGTTTTAATCATAAGCTCTTATAATACACATACAATCATGTAAGAGAAAAAATCTATTTATTAAATGCAGTTAACAATGCTAGTTAGTAACATTTGATATAACTGCTTTGTCACTTAAAACAGCCAGTTACTAAGGAAGAGAATTTGCTACCCTTCAAATTAGGGAGGAGTTCTGGGTTGTGGCAATTTATACTTTGCCTCCTTAGGAGAAGAAATGGCACAGCCAATTACATATTAAAGCAAGGACTTTGCTCAAAGACAAGACTAATTAAATAACTAGACTTTGTCTTTTGATCAAAGTAATTTCTGGTATGTCATTTTGGTTGGAAAATAGCAACTGCCTTATATGAGACTTCCAACAACACTATTTTACCAGGAGGCCAAGGAAACAATAGGGGATTTAGTTTTTGAATGTATCACATCCAGACTTACTTTGTTTTTTCATCTGCATCATTGCAAGATGATATTTGCTCAATGCTGTCAGACTTTAATATAAGCTCTAGACCCAAATATTGAGTATACTTTTTTCTTCCCAGCATGTCTACATAATTTGTATTTAAAAAAATATACAGAGATATACATGTACAGTTTCTGTGATTAGTCAAGATGATTTAAATACTGTGCATCAAGGCAGACAACTTTCTCATACATAAATTACTTTAAGTTATAATTTATCTAAAGGTAGCTCTGTATTTATTTTACTTTGACGACACTGTGTGTTGCTATCTGGGCTAATTTTGCAGAACTACCTGATGGTGTTGAACTGTGAAAGAATTTAGACTGCTATTCTTTAAACAGAAGAAGGTTGTGCTGGTAAGCTTCCAAACAAAGTAGCTCCTAAACAGCAAAATGTACAATATACAATCAAGGAAGTACAACATCTCCATATGCACAGTCCTCTTCAATAGCAAGATTGTACTCTGCTCCTCTTCCACCTTTATACGCGCTTGTCACAATTCTCAGCCACCCTCTTTCACCCTGTAAAGAATTAATTTGCATTGTAAATTAGAAAACATAACTATAGAGAACATATGCTATTGAGTCTGTTCTGTCTTCCAAATATGAATGATTTAAATCAATCTAGGAATTCACTCAAGATGAAGTATTACATTGGGTTCACAGGGCACCCTTGTTTAAAGGGGCAATCTGCTTTGGTGAATTTACATCTCCCTTATCTATTCCAGGTATGTGACCTGATTTTTGCCTACAACTAACAATAATTTACAGTTGCCCATAACAGGAGCTGCATGTCCATGGAAGGGTAGCATTTGGGATTGATTTGACATGACTCAAGTAACTCTGGCTGAATATCCATATCTTCAGATTAGTTAGGTTTCATTTTTTAATTGCTAGTCTATCTAGTTCAAAGAAAGTTTTACTTTTTCTATCCACAGGCTAGCTTTGCTGCTTCCTGTTTGCAAGTGAAAAACCCCACCCCTCCTCTAAAATCATTCTGCAAACACATTTGTTCCCCATGTTTCCTTACCCAGGGTTCACCCCATGAGTTACGAACAATCCAGTATTCTGTTCCATTTTCTACACCCCAGCCAGCCACAGATACAATGTGATTCACCTCCGGCGAGGGGTTGTATTCTGTATAAAGTCCACCAGTGTAAGCATCCAACTTTTCAGTAGCCATTATGCCACAGCTGTTATAAAACAGAAAGCATTTTTTTTTATACAAGGGGATCCGGACAAGGGCCTGGCTAAAAAAAACCACTTTGTTTCTTGCATTTTGACTTCAGAGCTCAATTTATCTACAAACAAGATGAAGTCTGCATATTAATGCAGAGCTGCTAATGTATGCTAGAGTGACATACATCTCAGTCATTAAACTGAGTTTCAAGTATTTCAATCCCAATATTACTAGTAGATAAACATTTTCTTTTTTACCATTAAAGATGTTTGGGGTTTTTTTTTTTTACCTAATTGGTCCATTAGTATAGATTTCTGCCATCATTTTTTCTCTTCCACTGACAGACCCATAGTCAGCAACTTTCCAGAGAGTGTAGTTCTTTATCACATGGCATTCTCCAAAAGTGACACAAGTTCCACACTGGTTAAACTTCTTACATTCTACAAAACAAAAGTGAGATTGTCACTGCAAGAGAATGTTTTTCTTCAAGTGAATTAATGGTACAACATTAAGCTTTTTTTCCTTTAACTTATTTGAGGCAGATACCAATAACTTAGGAGTAATTACTAATACATACTCTCTCTGGTGAGCTAAATTTCTTTCTGGAAACCACATTTAAAGTCCCTACAATCACTAGTTACTATTCTTTACTTCATGGGCATAAGTGCTTTGCTGAGGCAATGTTTCAGATGTGCTTCTCTACAGATAGAGGAACTATTCCAGTCATACATGACCAGACAAAGGTTACATTTCTTCTTTGTTTAGCTTGAGGTAACACTTCTAAATGTTTCAAATACATTAGAGATTGTATGTCACAGACTTATGAGATTAAGTTAAAACATACTAGCTGTGCAAGCTTGTCTGGGCATGATTTAATGCTGTGCTGTCTGGCTAAAGTAAAAAGAACACGCAGGCCTGTAAAGGAAACCTGTTCTATCAGTCAAACAGCAGGTACTACACTGAAAACCCAAGAAACTTTTTTTTAATATATATTAAGATCTACTAAACCTGGAATTAAGTAAATAGGCATCATACTTTGATCCTTAGCTTGGTAGTTGTTGCAGGTCTCATCTGGAATGCCATGGTCATGGGCATACATCCAAACACCTGAGTGGTCTCCACCTTCACAGGATCCCGCATCAGCACAATCAATCACATTCTGAACAGAGAGGTAGGCAGAAGGCCACGCACCTTTTCTCTTTATATTGATACGATCTGTAAGGATAAGAAATGAGGTTTTCTTAGTAGAATATGTAGGTGGTTACACGTTACAACTAGTGTTAAAACTGTTTCTCCTTCATTAAACCTGTAACTGTTTGCAGACAACAGCACTTGTGGTTGGAAAAGCCCATACTGTCAGCAGCAAGGCACATAGCATGGCCTAACGCAAACCGGCAGCCTGAGTTATTGTTGTGGGTTTCCATTAGAAGGTTTTTCCATTAAAAACTCAGCAAAAATATGCAGATGAGTAAGATTGTTTAAAGCCTTGAAGTGCTCTAGACCTCTTTTAATTCAAGTCACAGCTTCTAAAAACTTCCACATCTGTTTCCTGGCTTTGACAGCAAAGAGTTTTCAGATACACATCATACCGCCAGCTCTCAGTAGCATCTTTTATGGGAGTAAAGACTTATGCATAAATGCTTATGAATCTCTTATGCAGAGAGTCATAAGCCCATGCAAACCCGAGAGACAGTCTTCACAAACTTAAAGCAAGGTAAAGCTTTCAGAAGTGTCTCCTCGCTGTTATGTTAACATCTCACTGTTACCCTGCCATCTCAGACATCGCCACCCTCCTGCCTTATTTTGTCAGAAACAACTAGCTTGCTTGGCAGAAAAACTTCCCAATGAGTATTTATAAACTGCTTCTCACAGTGCATTAACAGTCTTAACTGATGCCACTGTAGTACTTTTAATCCTGGTAGTACTAACAACATTCCACTATACTTGACAGCACTGGGAGGCATTATCCCAGCCTGGTCTTCCAGCAACAAAAGAAGGAATGAATACTTTAACCATTCACAGCAATTAAGAAAACCCATCCTGATTTTTAAAATCAACCTTTTGTACTTACAAAGATGCAGGTACTGGCACACCTACATACACAAGTTTTAACCAAAGTTAGGTAATTAAGAAATTGCTCTATTTTATGTATCCTAGTACTTCACTACATCAGGGCAGGCTTCATATTTGTCTGTATTCTTTATTCGTGGTGATTCATGCTGTCTGCTCACACCTGCATTGTCCTCCCATTTCTGCACAGCTTCCTCTATTTCTCCTTCACAGTTAATCCTCTTACAACCTCCGTACACTAACAGGACTTCTGCAGCATGTTACTGTTACATGCAAATCATCATGTATTGTCTTTACAGAAAATATTCCTCCAACTGAAGCACACCTCTACTTCCCTTTTCCCCCAAGAAAAAGGCTCTCTACTGAAACTAGAGTTGTCTGTACGCAGTGGTAGTCAGGTCTTTTGAATGACAGGGCTCTTCAAGCTAACAAACTGTGGGCCTTTCCACGAGAAGCAACTGCTTTCGTTTCCTCATATCCAGGCATCACTGGAGCAGCCCCTTGCTGCTGTAGCGCAGCAGGCCGAGGTACCAAAAAAGGGAAGGAGACAGAATAACTGCTTTTGCATCTGCTGCTAGCATCACCACACATCCCAGAAGAGGGACAGAAAACCCAGTTCTTGCTCCTGGCCCTAAACAGCAGCGTGGCAGGAGAGCTGTGTCTGCACTCCTTCTGCAAACAGCTTTTTAACCATGCCAGCGTCTCCACCTCGCACAATTTTGAGAGGGCGGGGACTGCCTCACTGATTGCTTTCTCTCTTGGAAGCAAACCTCCTTGCCTTCAGCTCAGGAATTCCCATCGTTACTGGTGCCTTCACAGACATGTCAGCCTCGGTTTTATCTGCGTTAGTGACTGCAGTCATTTGGCACCTCTTCCTCCCACCAGCTGTTTTGTAAGCTGAGGATACACTCCCTTTGCTTAACGAAAGCTATAAATCACGGGGAGGGGGCAAACAGCTTGGCGAGCGAGCAGGCAGCCCGCAGCCCTGAGCGCCGCGTACCTGCTAAAGCGCTGGTGCTGCCGTGGGCCCAGCAGGACCCGCAGTACTGGGGGATGTGCTGGTTCCGCGTCGTGCTGGCGTAATTGATGCCGTTCACGTTCCTCCAGTCCCAGCTCTCGGGTAGAGCGGACACGTCCAGGTACTCGTGCGGGCGGGGGTAGGTCCTGCATGAGGCAGAATAAAAGAACTCGGTGCCACGCTGCCCAGGCCTGTATTTTCAGGCAAATAAGGGGATTTTCC